GGAGGAGGAGGAGGAGGAGGAGGAGGAGGAGTTTGTACACATGCTCGTTGCGTTCGATTTGCCACGGAGCTTCGGGGCCGCCGAAGAGGAGCGGGCGGTCGTTGCGGCCGACCTGCGGTGCGCGGAGAACGCCCGGAGCGTCGACCTGGCGCCCCCGCCCCCAGCGGCGGAGATTGTGCGGCGGTGCCAGGAGGGCGAGCGCAGCGTCCGCGACACCCTGGAGGACTTCTTGGAGTTTCCACCCCTCGAGCCTGGACCCTCGATGCCCTCCAGGCCTCCCAGATGGGGTCCGAGTAGATGGGCTCGGAGAAGCGCCCTGCATCGCCGATACATCGGCGATTCGGCTCGATGTGGTTCCCTGTTTTCTCCCTGTGGATCCCAGACCCCCTCGGGCCATGAACAAAATCACGACGGCAGGTTTTCGCTATTTTCGGCCTCCGGGGTTCCTTACTGGGCCTCGGGGCCGGCAGAAAACGACTCGGGATGAAGAACCGATCCTGGGGAATGTGTCGAGACGCCTGGGACCCTGGATCCCACGGTCCCTCTCCCGATTCCCCCCTCGACACTCTGGAGGACTTCGTGGGACCGTGCCAGAGCCGGCAGCGGCAGCGCCATGGGGGGGGCGGGATGCGGCTCATTGGCCGGACGCGGGTGGTAGGGCCTCCCAGGTCATAGCCGTGGTTGGCTGCTTCCACGAGTGCGCAGCGGCGCCGTCGCAGGTCGACGCACTCGCACCAGAAGGTTGCACACATATATATATGTATATATACATGTATTTATGTATGCATGTATGTATGTATGTATGTATGTATGTATGTATGTACGTATGTATGTATGTATGTATGTATGTATATATATATATTTATATTAGAAAGCCTTCGTGGCTTGAGCGCCTCATCCCTTCAGAGAGCAAGTCGGCAATCGAGTTGTTCGACGCGGAGAGCATCTCATTTCCTGGTACGTCCCGCTGTGTGTGTGTGCGCGTGGCAATGCGCACTTGGTTGTGAGAGCAAGTCCGAGTGGACGACGAGTACGACGAGTACGACGACGACGATGACGACGACAACGGCGGCGGCGGCGGAGGCGGAGGCGGCGGCGGCAGCGGAGACGGCTACGATGAGGGTGTGCGTGCGTGTGTGCGTGCGACGACGACGACGGCCGTGCCTTCAGTCGAATAAGAAATAACGGCATAACAATAAACTTTGGGAGCCCCGCGCGGCTTTTTCGGATCTGCGCCAGGCCCCCCCTGGCGGCGCTTCCGGCGACGCACCTGGCGCTATCTGCGCGCAGGGGAGAGGGGTCCAGCGCCGATCCAAGAAATCCGTGCGGAGCTTCGAATGTTGCCGATTGCATCTCGATGTCTCACCCCCTGAGCCAGCCCCCCTATCGTGCCCCCGCAGTCCTCGATTCCTCGATTTCTCTGTCCTCGATCCCTCGATCCTCGACCCTTCGTCCCTCGATCCCTCGATCTTCGATCCCTTGGTCCCCATATCCTCGACCCCTCGACCATCGATCCCCGAACCCCACATCCTCGATCCTCGATGCCCCGATCCCTCGATCCTCGATCCCTCGATCCCTCGATCCCTCGTTCCCCCGATCCGCGATCCTCGATCCCTCAACTCTCGATCCCTCGATCTCTCGCTCCTCGATCCTGTATCCCTCGATCCTCGACCCTCGAACCCCCAATCCTCGATCCTCGATGCCTCAGACCCCCGATGCCTCAGACCCCCGATCGATCCTCGATCCCTCGATCCTCGATCCCTCAATCCTCGACCCCTCGATCCTCGATCCTCGATCCTCGTTCCTCGATGCCTCGACCCTTCGATCCCCCGATCCTCGATCCTCGATCCCCCCACCCTCGAGCCTCGATCCCTCGCTTATCGATCCTCGATCCCTCGATTGTGAACCCTCGAGATCACGATCCTCGATTCCTCAAACCCCCGATCCTCGACCCCCGATCCTCGACCCCTCCATCCCTCGACCTTCGATACCCGAACCCCAGATCCTCGATTCTCGATCCCCCGATCCCTCGATCCTCGACCCCTCAATCCTCGATCCTGGATGCTCGATCCTCGATGCCTCGATCCCCCCCCGACCCCTCGATCCCCGATCGCCCCATCCTCCACCCTCGACCCCTCGCTCCTCGACCCCTCGATCCCTCTCGCCCCCTCGATCCCTCTCGAGCCCGCGATCCTCGATCCCCCGATCCCTCGACGCCCCGAGGACTTCCTGGGCCGCGCCAGGGCCTGCACGGCGCTGACGAACTGCGTCGCCGCGGGCCCGCAGGCCGAGGTCGAGCGGCGCGCGCGCGAGCTCGCCGCGCGCCTCGACGCGCTCGGCCCCGCGGAGCGCGCGGCGCTGCCGCTGTTCGGGCTCCCCTTCGCGGAGAGAGGAAACGGCGGCACGAGCGTTTTGCAGCGGGGGGCCCCTGCCGGGGGGCACCCCCTGCTTGCCTCCGGGGTACCCTGGGTTGCTTGGGCTCCGTGTTTTTGTTGCTGCTGCTGCTGCTGTTGCTGCGGTTGCTGTTGCTGCCGTTGCTGTTGCTGTTGTTGGTGTTGCTGTTGTTGTTGTTGTTGTTGTTGTTGTTGTTGTTGTCGTTGTTGTTGTTGTTGTTGTTGTTGCTGTTGTTGTTGTTGTTGTTGTTGTTGTGGTTGTTGTTGTTGTTGCTGCTGTTGCTGTTGCTGTTGCTAATGCTGTTGAACATTATTAATTCTAAAGAATAATTATTGTTGGGGCCCCTGGTGCACGGCCCCCCTGCGCCGCCTAGGCCGCAGCTACATTTTCATCATTTTCGTGAGGAAGCCTCAGGTAATTCGATGTGATCAAGATCCGGTTGTTTTGTTCCCCCCCGCTTTCCCTTGCAAAAAACACTATAAAATGACATTTCTTGTTCTAATATAATCAAATTTCAAGAATCCCTTGCAAACAATAAGGTAAAGTGGACATTCGCGCGCGCAAGACGAAATCCTTCCAAAAGCTTAGTGTTCGCAGCGATTTTAACATAAAAACATCAAAAAACCAATGGTTTTTCAACAAAAAATTGTCAAAATCTCATCCCGCGCGCTCTTGCGGATTCGTAGGAAACCCAACACTTTTTAAACATTTCTGTCAAACGGGCTTTTGCGAGCAACTTTTTCGAACTTCTGCGACAACGGTTGCGCACCTGCCAGGGCCATCATCCCTGTCAAATAATACCATGCGGGACACATTCGTTTTTTCTTCGCGCGCGCACGCCGAAATCTCCAAAAACCATTGGGCTTCTTAAGAATTTTAGCACCGCGCATCATAAAATCACACGAATCGCACCGTAGGTCCTCGAAAAACACCTGCACGACTTTTCAAAATTTCTACCCGCGCGCGCTGTCCTAACAACTTCTGTGGGTGTGTACTCCACGCCAGTGTAGTAGCCACGGTCGTCCGCAGGCCACGAAGTGAAGTGTCCGAACGTCATAGGGCGGGAAGCTGGGTGTGGGTGGTGGCGAAGAGTCGTGTGGATATTTGGTAGAGCTTGCACTGCCCCCCCACAAAGTGGGGGTATTGGCTGGCGTCGCATGAAAACCCTGGCACTGGTGAGAACACTGAGCGTTCGGGTAAAGTGATTGTTGTTGTTGTTGTTGTTGTTGTTGTTGTTGTTGTTGTTGTTGTTGTTGTTGTTGTTATGGTTGTTGTTGTTGTGGTGGTGGTGGTGGTTGCTGTGGTGGTGGTGGTTGTTGAGGTTGTTGTTGCTGTTGATGCTGCTGCTGCTGTTGTTGTTGTTGTTGTTGGTGGTGGTGGTGGTGGTTGTTGTTGTTTTTGGTTGTTGTTGCTGCTGCTGCTGCTGTTGTTGTTGTTGTTGTTGTTGTTGAACTCCCATTTCTGATAATTATGATTGTTGATCCCCCCCGCCGGTGCACATGGTGTTTTTTTCAATTGAAGTTTCCCTCACGGGGTTCGCCGCACCTTGTTTTTTTAATCAGGGAAAGTCTTGAGGCTCAAACTGTGTCGTTGGCCCTCGGTTTCCAACAACAGCGGCTCCCGCCCGATACTTCCTCACAATTTATTGAAGAGTCGCGCTCTCGCTTGGGACTTCCTGGCAATTTGCGATCGGATCGCGGCTCCTGCTTGATACTTCCTGACAATTTATTGCAGAATCGCGTTCTCCTTGGGACTTCTTCGCAACTTAACACCGAACCGCTTCGCTGGATATTTTTTCGCAACTTATTCTGATGCCAGGCATTGACACTCAGGAATCGTGCTCCCGCTACATATTGCCTGGCGGCTCAAGCAGGACTCACGCTTCAACGACCCGCCCGCTCGACCCGCCCGTCGGGGCCTGCCCGCCCGACCAGCCCGTTAATGACTGCAGTCGCCGCTCGCTGCCCTTCGCTTGCCTTCGATGCCCCTCGCTGCCCGTACTGGTTCCGCGGTCGCCTTCGCTCGCTGCCTTTGGTGGCCCCGTTGCTGCCTTTAGTGGCCCCGTCGGTGCCCGTTGTGGCCCCGCATTATATGCCCTTCGTGGCCCCCGCTCGCACGCGCCCGTCGTGGCCCATACGCATGCCCTTCTGCCCTTCGTGGCCCCTTTGCTGCCCTCAGTGGCCCCGCTGTCGCCCTGTGTGGCCCCGTATACGAATGCCCTTTGTGGCCCCCGCTCGCTCGCGCCCGTCGTGGCCCCATGTGCATGCCCTTCGTGTCCCCGCTGTCGCCCTTAGTGGCCCCCTTGCTGCCCTTCGTGGCCCCGGTGCTGCCCTCAGCGGCCCCGTCGCTGCCCTCTGCGGCCTCGGTTTTTATGCCCTTCGTGGCCCACGCAGGCTTTTCTCACGATTTACTTGGGAATCGCGTTATCGCTCGAGACTTCCTCGCGATTCATGTAGGACCCACGCTTCAGCAACCCGCCTGCTCGACCTCGTTGCCTGGGCCCGCCTTCCGACGTGCCCTCTATGGGTCTGACCACCCGATCTGTCCGTCTGGTTCTACCACTTGTTTTCTGCTCCTTGCCCCCCTCCTGCTAATTTCTCTCGTGCTCCATTATTCTCCCTCCCCCTTCCACCCGTCCTCTCTTCCTTTGTTTCAAGTAAGGAAGATATCTACCCCAAAGGGGGTACGATCGATTACGACGAGGGCGGGTACCGAGGGCTTGGGATATACGTATCAATTGGCACCTGAGCAGATCGGAGCGAACAGTCTTAAAATGATTTTTGTTGTCGTTGTTGTTGTCGTTGTTGTTGTTGTTGTCGCCGTCGTCGTCGTCGTCGTCGTCGTTGTTGTTGTTGTTGTTGTTGTTGTTGTTGTTGTTGTTGGTGGTGGTGGTGTTGTTGTTGTTGTTGTTGTTGTTCTTGTTTGTTGTGGTGGTGGTGGTGGTTGCTGTGGTGGTGGTGGTGGTTGTTGAGGTTGTTGTTTTTGTTGTTGCTGTTGATGCTGTCGCTGCTGTTGTTGTTGTTGTTGGTGGTGGTGGTTGTTGTTGTTTTTTGGTTGCTGCTGCTGCTGCTGCTGCTGTTGTTGTTGTTGTTGTTGTTGTTGTTGTTGAACTCCCATTTCTGAGAATTATGATTGTTGATCCCCCCGCCGGTGCACATGGTTTTTTAATTGAAATCCCCCTCACGGGATTCGCCGCACCTTGTTTTTGTATCAGGGAAAGTCTTGAGGCTCAAACTGTGTCGTTGGCCCTCGGTTTCCAACAACAGCGGCTCCCGCCCAAAATTCCTCACAATGTATTGAAGAATCGCGCTCTCGCTTGTGACTTCCTTGCAATTTACCACCGGATCGCGGCTCCTGCTTGATACTTCCTGACAATTTATTGAAGAATCGCGCTCTCACTTGGGGCTTCTGCGTTCCCCTCGACACCTCTGCAGTTCTCACTATCCTTCCGCCCCGCTCTCCCAACATCCCGCTTTTTGAGGGTTCCACGAAATTTGTTTCTGACACCAGTTCGCAGCTGTACGTCCCCCCGTGGGGGTATCCACGAGATGTTCTTTCAAGGGGGTGGTGCGTGGCGCTGTTTATGACGCGACCCAGGGCGAAACTTTTTGTGAACCTGCTTTGGAGTGGCTGGCGCAAGCCATGGCGCAAGCTGAATCGCCACTCGGGGCGCAAATCATCGTCCTCCCTCCTTCTTGCCCCTCCCCTCCCTTCCTCCGATCCCTTCGTCCTCATTATCCCCCGTTATCCGTTGCCCTTCGTCTTCAAGGGCTTCACCAACCACGCGTGGCAGGGAATGCATATCCCCCTCCCGCAGGGGGTACGATCGAAGACGAAGAGGGCGGGTATCCAGGGTTTGGGATATGCATATTGAATGACACGCGAGCAGATAAGAGCGAACAGTCTTAAAATGATTGTTGTTGTTGTTGTTGTTGTTGTTGAACTCTCAGTTGTGAAGAATAACTATTGTTGACCCCCCTCGCCGGCGCATGATGTTTGTTCGCAATCAAAGTGTGCCCCGTCGACGTTCGCACCTTGTTTCATTGACAGGGAAAATCTTGATGCTCAAACTGCGCCCCTGGCCCCCATGTTACAATAACAGCGGCTCCCGCGTGAGACTTATTCACAGTTTAGCCAGGACCCTTCTCCCTCCCGATACTTCCCCGCATTTTATTCAGGGGTCGCGCTCTCGCCTGGTACTTCCTTACAGTTGATTCAGGAATTGCTCTCCCGGCGCTCTGGAGTCCCGCTCTCGCTGGAGACTTGCTTTCGATTTACTGACGAATAGCGCCTCTGCGTTCGAGTAGCCCGCAATTTACTCAAGCGCCGCGCTCCCGACACCCAGGCACCCAGGAGTCGCGCTCACGCTTAGGATTCCTTCACAGATTACCTAGGAATCGTGATCTCGCTGCCCTTCGTGGCCCCGTTGCAGCCCTTCGTGGCGCCCCCCTCGCTGCCCTTCGTGGCCCCGTTGCAGCCCTTCGTGGCCCCCTCGCTGCCCTTCGTGGCCCTGTTGCAGCCCGTCGTGGCCCCCTCGCTGCCCTTCGTGGCCCCGTTGCAGCCCGTCGTGGCCCCCTCGCTTTGCTTCGTGGCCCTGTTGCAGCCCTTCGTGACCCCCTCGCTTTGTTTCGTGGCCCCGTTGCAGCCCTTCGTGGCCTCCTCGCTGCCCTTCGTGGCCCGGTTGCAGTCCTCGTGGCCCCGTCGCAGCCCTTCGTGGCCTCCTCGCTGCCCTTCGTGGCCCCATATATGTATGCCCTTCGTGGCCCGCGCTCGTTCGCGCCCGTGGTGGCCCCATATGCATGCCCTTCGTGGCCCCGCTGTCGCCCTTCGTGGCCCCGTTGCTGCCCTTCGTGACCCCGTTGCTGCCCTCAGTGGCCCCGTCCTTGCCCTCCGCGGCCCAATCTACGTATGCCATTCGTGGCCCCCTTTCGTTCGCGCCCTTCGTGGCCGCATGTGCATGCCGTTGGTGGCCCCGCTGTCGTCCTTTGTGGCCCCCTCACTGTCCAACGTGGCCCAGTTGCTACCCGCAGTGGCCCCGTCGTTGTCGTCTGTGGCCCCGCATTATCTGCCCTTCGCGGCCCCCGTTCGTTCGCGCCCGTCGTGGCCCCATACGCATTCCCTTCGTATCCCCGCTGTCGCCCTTCGTGGCCTACATCGTGCCCTTCGTGGCCCTGCTGTCGTTCTCAGTCGCTCTCGCTTTCGCTCGTCGTCGTCGTCGCCGTCGTCGTCGTCGTCGTCGTCGCCGTCGTCGTCGACGTCGTCGTCATCGTCGTCGTCGTCGTCGTCGTGGTCGGTCCCCTGTCCGTCCCTCTTGGGGTCGGGTCGACGGTCCGCGGCCGCCCCGCCGATCAGCGCTGCCACTGGCCAGGCCGACGGTCCGCGGCCACCCCGCCGCTTGCCGGGGCCCGGCCTGCAGGGAAGAAAGGTATACCCCCTAAGGGGCACAATCGAAGACGAAAAGGGCGGGTATTGAGGGTTTGGGAAATACGCGTTATTGAACACGAGCAGATGAGGGCGAACAGTCTTAAACTGATTGTTGTTGTTGTTGCTGTTGCTGTTGCTGTCGTTTTTGTTGTTGGTGTTGTTGTTGTTGTTGTTGTTGTTGTTGAATTTTCGCTACGGAAGAAGAAATAGTTGTGTTCCCCCTTCTGGTGCACATTGTATTTTTCAATTGAAGTGCCCTGCCCGGCGCTCGCATCTTGTTTTTATCAAGGAAAGTCTTCGTCCTCAAACTGCTCCCCTAGCCCCCGGATTACAACAACAACGGCTCCCGCCTGAGACTTCCTCACAATTTAACCAGGACCCCCGCTCCCGCCTGAGATTTCTTCGCATTTTATTCAAGAATCGCGCTCTCGCTTGGGACTTCCTTACAATTTATTAAGGAATCGCTCTCTCGGCGCTCTGGAGTCGCGCTCTCGCTGGAGACTTGCTTGCAATTTACTAAAGTATAGCGCCATTGCGTTGGAATATCCCGCAATTTACTCAAGCGCCGCGCTCCCGACACTCAGGCACCCAGGAGTCGCGCTCACGTTTAAGAGTCACTCACATATTATTTACGAATCGTGATCTCGCTGCCCTTCGTGGCCCCGTTGCAGTCCTTCGTGCCCCCCTCGCGGCCCTTCGTGGCCCCGTTGCAGCCCTTCGTGGCCCCCTCGCTGCCCTTCGTGGCCCTGTTGCAGCCCTTCGTGGCCCCCTCGCGGCCCTTCGTGGCCCCGTTGCAGCCCTTCGTGGCCCCCTCGTTTTGTTTCGTGGCCCCGTTACAGCCCTTCGTTGCCCTCTCGCTGCCCTTCGTTCGGCGCCACCCCAACATCGTTATACTATGTGTGCGTCGCCCTCCCAGGGGCGACGCGCGCACCGAGAAGTCTTATAGTATATGCGTCGTGGCGGGCGCTTTCTGCTTTCTGTCCACACCGCTCGGGAAACGATATGCTCCCAGATGGATATACCACATGTTCGGGTCGGACGCGCGCCTCTATGGAGGACATCTAGTATTAGTATGTCCCTGTGCGTCCCATTCGTGTCACCGTTGCAGCCCTTCGTAGTCCCGTCGCTGCCCCTCGTGGCTCCGTTGCACCGCTTCGCGGCCCCCTCGCTGCCCTTTGTGGCCCCATTGCAGCCCTGCGTGGCACCCCTCGCTGCCCTTCGTGACCCCGTTGCAGTCCCTCGTGGCCCCCTCGCGGCCCTTCGTGGCCCCGTTGCAGCCCTTCGTGGCCCCCTCGCTGCCCTTCGTGGCCCCATATATGTATGCCCTTCGTAGCCCGCGCTCGTTCGCGCCCGTGGTGGCCCCATATGCACGCCCTTCGTGGCCCCGCTGTCGCCCTTCGTGGCCCCGTTGCTGCCCTTCGTGGCCCCGTTGCTGCCCTCAGTGGCCCCGTCCTTGCCCTCCGCGGCCCAATCTACGTATGCCATTCGTGGCCCCCTTTCGTTCGCGCCCGTCGTGGCCGCATGTGCATGCCGTTGGTGGCCCCGCTGTCGTCCTTTGTGGCCCCCTCGCTGTCCTACGTGGCCCAGTTGCTACCCTCAGTGGCCCCGTCGTTGTCGTCTGTGGCCCCGCATTATCTGCCCTTCTTGGCCCCCGTTCGTTCGCGCCCGTCGTGGCCCCATACGCATTCCCTTCGTGTCCCCGCTGTCGCCCTTCGTGGCCTACATCGTGCCCTTCGTGGCCCTGCTGTCGTTCTCTCTCTCGCTCTCGCTTTCGCTCGTCGTCGTCGTCGTCGTCGTCGTCATCGTGGTTGATCCCCTGTCCGTCCCTCTTGGGGTCGGGTTGCCGCCGATCAGCGCTGCCGCTGGCCAGGCCGACGGTCCGCGGCCGCCCCGCCGCTTGCCGGGGCCGGGACTGCAGGGAAGAAAGGAAGACCCCCCAAAAGGGGTACGATCGAAGACGAAGAGGCCGGATGTCGATGGTTTGGGAAATACGCGTTAACGGACATTCGAGCAGATAAGATCGAGCAGTCTTAGATTTATTATTGTTATTCTTATCAATAATTATTGTCGTTCGTCTTATTTTTGTTGTCGTTGTTGTTGTTGCTGCTGCTGTGGCTGTTGTTGTGGTTGTTGTTGTTGTTGTTGTTGCTGTTGTTGTTGTTGTTGTTGTTGTTGTTGTTGTTGCTGTTGTGGTGGTGGTGGTGGTGGTGGTTGTTGTTGTTGTTGTTGTTGTTGTTGTTGTTGCTGTTGTGGTGGTGGTGGTGGTGGTGGTGGTGGTGGTTGTTGTTGTTGTTGTTGTTGTTGTTGTTGTTGTTGTTGTTGTTGCTGTTGTGGTGGTGGTGGTGGTGGTGGTGGTGGTTGTTGTTGTTGTTGTTGTTGTTGTTGTTGTTGTTGTTCTTTGTTTGTTTGTTAATTGTTAGGGAAAGCGTGACGTCCCCACGCAAAACATCCATGGACGTCCTGGGGTCTCAGGGTTGGGTTTCTTGTGGAAGGTTTCTTGCGGTCGGGCCTCCACTGTACAGTCGGACCGAGGTACAAGATCGAGGTGGGTTCGGGGAGGGTGCCCTACTGTTCTTTGTCTGTTGAATGCTCTTGTGCGCCCTGGGGAGGGTACCTTGGATGTTCTGCTTGTGTTTGCTGGCGGAGGGTCTCATATTCTTGAAGGATGTTCTTCCGCTGTAGTTTCTAGGTCCGACTGTAATTTTCTCAGGTCTTCGCAAATCTCTTGGATCGGCGCCAAGACCACCTGGCAGGGCCTCCGGCGGCGCAACCCCTGACTTTCTGAGGCCCTCGCAGGTTTCTTAGATCGGCGATGGGCCCCCCCTGGCGGCGCCTCTGGCGCCGCCCCTGGTCTAGGGAGGGGATGTCCGGCGCAGATCCAAGACATCCGCGCGCCTCCGACCATTTGTGATCATGCCGTCTTTTCTTCTTCCGGCTTCTCCGTCAAGGAGTGCTACCTCCTGAGGGGCACCGACTCGACCGCCGGGCTGGCCGGGCGCGTGGGGGTGCCCTCCGAGGAGGATCGGGCGGGCCAGGTGCAGGATGAGCAGAGGAGGGTGCGTTGAGAAGCCCAAGTCGGAGGAGCAGGATCAGGATAATCAGAGGAGGGCCAGGATCAGGATCGTCAGCGGAGGAACTTCTCTGGGAGGCCCAAGTCCCAGCGCGCCCTCAGAGCGCGTTGCGCAGCGCTCCGCAGCGCTCCGCAGCGCTCCGCAGCGCTCGGCGCATCCGCCAGAACCGCCGGGTCTCGGAGCTCCCTGCTCTGCCCCCGTCTGGTTCTGTCCCGGGATCCTGGCCTCCATGGTCTCTTGGTACTCCTCTCTGGTTCTGCCATGCACTCCTGGCCCCGATGGCCTCTTCTCCCAGAGGATGCCGCGCTCGTGGCGCAGCTGATCTCCCTGGGGGCCGTGCCCTTCTGCAAGACGAACGTTCCGCAGATCATGTACGCGTGGGAGTGCGCGAATCAGATCTACGGGGTGACCAGCCACCCTCTGCACAGGTTTACCAGCCTGGAACCTATCCCTATCCCTATGTTGGGCATCGCCTCGGTCACGATGGCGGTCTTAGGGATTCCCTCAGTTTCTGAGGGTGCATCCCTAAGATTGTCATCGCATTTTGGCGTGTGAATCTCAGGGATAGGGATAAATTCGAGGCTGGTTACAGGTGCTTCATCCCGGGCGGCTCCTCCGGGGGCGAGGCCGCGCTGATCGCCGCGGGGGGCTCCGTCGTGGGCATCGGCACGGACATGGGTCAGCATCGTTTAACTGACCCACCATCCCCATCCCCATCCCCTTCGAGACACCCACCAAATTACCCCCCCGGTTGGGGATACGCCCCTCGAAACCCAGAGGGAACGGCCTGTGTCTCCATCTAGGGGGGGGACATCGGCCAGTGGAGCCCAGGCCACGCCGCTGGGGATGGGGATCGGTGAAGCGATGCTCAATAGGCGGCTCGTGCAGGCTGCCTGCGCATATGTCCGGCTGCGTGGGCATGAAGTGCACGAAGGGGCGGGTGTCTGTGAAGGGCAAGGTCTAGGCCATCCCAGATGGGAGTCAGAGCGGATGGGGTCGGAGGATCGCCGATGCATCGCCGGTGCATCGGCGATGCGTCTCGACGCGGAGCCCGATGTTCTCCACGCCGACGGCGGTAATGCGTCGCCGACGTTGCCGATGCGTCGCCCATGCATCGGCGATGTATCGGCGGTGCGGCGTGATCCCCCGACCCCATCTGCTCGGACCTCCTTTGGGAGGCCCGTAATAGGGCCCTCCGCTTCTTTATGGCGACGGTCAGCAGATCATCGCATCGTGCTCGGGGCCGCTGGCGCGCACCGCGGAAGACCTGGGCTTTGTGCTGGAGAAGCTGTGTGACCCCGCCTCTCTGGAGGACGTGCGCCGCAACTGGGACAGTTCTGTTTTACCATGTCCGTGGAATCGTATTGTGGCCAAGGGTTTAGATCGAAGAGCAAAAAGCGGCATCAACATGCTCTCTCGGAGGTCCGCGCAGATGTCTTGTGTCGGCGTCGGGCCTTCTGGTGGGACCTCTGGCGCCGCCCCTGGCGCGCTCCGCGTGCCAGGGAGGGGAGCCAGAGCCGATCCAAGAAATCCGCGCGGACCTCAGAGAACTTATGCTTGTGCCGTTGTTTTGTCCATCTGCTGGAGGGTCAGCAGTTGAAAATCGGCTTCTATTGCTACGACGGCTTCATGGAGGCGAGTCCAGCATGTGTCAGGGCCGTGCACAAGGCGGTTGCGGCATTGAAGCGTGCCGGGGTCTGCTGTGTCGAGTTTTGCCCACCAGACGTGGAGGAGGCCTTCCTCATCTATGCGGGCCTGCTGGCGACGGGTCTCCCCCACGTGCAGGACCTGTTGGCGCGACCTGGTGAGCACGTGGCCGATGCGATCAGGAAAGGCATTGTGGCCTTTTCTCTTCCGATGTGGCTGAAAGTTCTTGTGACCAAGCTGGCAGGGGCGCCTGTCATGGAGAAGGTCGTGCGGATGGCGCGGGCCTGGAGTGGGGCGGAGTATTATGAGCTAGTAGCGGCGAAGATGCGATACATGGACAAGTTCGCCAAAGCCTTTACGTCCGATCTGGATCTGCTGCTCTCTCCCGTGCACGTGCTTCCGACCAGCGCGCACATGACAACGAAGGATTTCCCACCGACGGTCTGCTACACCGCACTTCAAAACCTGTTGGACTACCCAGCAGGGGTCGTTCCCGTCACGACGCTTCAGCCCAGCGATTCGGCGTGGGACAGCCCGATTCGTGATAAGTTGCTGGATCCGCCTATCCGGCGTGCATACGCGCAGGCCATTGAAGCCAACGCGCCGTTTCCCATAGGAGTTCAGCTGGTGGGCCGCCCTTACACGGAGGAGTTGGTGGTCAGGGGCATGCGTGAGCTCGAGACGGCTCTAAGGGCTCCGCAGAGTTTGCTGTGATCGACCCGTGTGCCCCCATGAACTGTTGATTCCAGTCGACGCCCAGGACAAGTCCTTCCCGCCTTTGTTCCGCCATCTTAGCAGATTTTTCACCCCCTGGGTGGTGGTGGTGGTGGCGAGTTTCGTTCACACTCTCCCTTTCTGTCTGTCTGTCTGTCTGTCTGTCTGTCTGTCTGTCTGTCTGTCTGTCTGTCTGTCTGTCTCTCCGCAGCACAGCCGCAGCACAACCTGCTTGCTGGCGCGGGTTTGCTTGCCTCCTTGCTAAAGCCCCCCTTCAAACAGACTGCTTTCGCAGAGTCAGTCTGTTCGTCTGTCTCTCTGTCTGTCTGCCTGTCTGTCTGTCTGTGTCTGTCTGTGCTTGTCTGTCTGTCTGTGACTGTCTGTGTGTCTGCGACTGTCTGTCTGTCAGTCTGTCAGTGAGTCTGTCTGTCTGCCTGTCTGTCTGTCTGTCTGTCTGTCTGCCTCTCTCTTTGTCAGTCTCTGTCTGCCTCTTTGTGTGTCTCTCCCTTCCTCTCTTTTTTCGTGTTTTTTTATGTATAGCTTGTTTTCTCTCTCTCTCTCTCTCTCCTAATTTTTGTTGTTGCCCTGTTTCTATCGATACATACTCATACATATATATATATATATATATCTCTCTCTCTCTCTTCCTTTTTTTTTTTTGTTTCTCTCTCTCTCTCTCTTCAAATTGCCCGTTTTCGCCACTCCGAAGTCGCCAGCGTCGATCCTTTCTTTATTCCCGTGCGCACATGTTCAGACCAGCTGGTGGCTAGCGAGCACCTCCCGCTGCGCATCCTGCTGCCAACAGCGTGACAGGAAATTTCAAGCCATTGCAGGGCACCGGACCGCACAGGCCCTTGGTTGAAGGCGCGGCACAGGCATCTGTGTGTGTGTATCTCTCTCTCTCTCTCTTTCTCACTCTTTGTAGATCTCTCTTTGAATCTCTCTCTCTCTCTCGCTCACTTTCTTTCTCTCTCCCTCTCTCTTTCTCCCTCCTTTCTCTAATCCTCTATGTCCCTCTTTCTCTTTCTTGTTTTCTCTCTGTCTCTGTCTGTCCCTGTTACGTCTTTCTCACTCAGTCTCTCTCTCTCTCTCTTTCTCTTTCTCTACTTGATCTATCTAACATATATAGATATCAGCACATATCTTTCTTGACATACACTTTTCTATACCTGTATATGGATGTTTGTATGTATGCATGCTCCTATGTAATGTATGTTTGTATACATGTATGTATGCATGTTTGAATGTATGTATGCATGTACGTATGTATGCTTGTGCGTACCTGCATCCGCACGCACGTACGTATGCATGTCTGTCTGTCTGTCTGTCTGTATGTCTGTATGTATGCATGTATGCATGTATGCATGTATGCATGTATGCATGTATGCATGCATGCATGCATGCATGCACGCGTGCATACATGCAGGTGTAGACACGTATGCATGTATGTATGTATGCATGCATGCATGCATGCATGTATGTATGTATGTGTGTATGTATGTGTGTGTATGTATGTATGCATGCATGCATGCATGCATGCATGTATGGATGTATGGATGTATGGATGTATGGATGTATGGATGTATGGACGTATGTATGTATGTATGTATGTATGTATGAGAGAGCGTGATCCACCGCCGCTTTACTGTGGAAAATTGCCAACCTTTTCCTCTGGAACCCGGGGGTCGCCCCCCCCCCCCCCCTCCGAAAATCCCCCCCCCCCCCTGCTGGAACCCCTCCCCCCCCCCCCCCCCCTCTCCCCCGGCAAAAAAACCCCCCCGTCCCCTACCCCTCCCCCCCCCCCCCCCCCCCTCCCGCTCGAAAACCGGGGGGGGTCACTACCGGTTCGAACCCCCTCCCCCCCCCCCCCCCCCCCTCCGGATCCGGAAAACTGGGGGGGCCACTACCGGTTCGCACCCCCCCCCCCCCCCCCCCCCCCTACTCACCGCCAGCAAACGACTCCCGGTCCCCACCACCGTCCGCATCACATCCCCCACTGGTGTTCCCAGCACCACTGTCCTCACCACCGCTGTCCCCACTGGTTCCACCACCGCCCCTACTGTCCCCACCAGTGGCCCCACCACTGTCGCACTGTCCCCGCTGTCCCCCCACTGCAGAACTGTTCCCACCACGGTTCCACTCTCCCCACTGTCTCCACGGCCCCAACCACTGCCCGACTATCCCCACTGTCCCCACTGTCCCACTGACTCCTCCGCTGTCCCACTGAGCTGTCCCACTGTTCCCACCACTGTCCCCACTGTCCCCACCACTGTCCCCACTGTACCTCTGTCCCATTGTCCCACCGCCGTCCTCGCCACCGCCTTCACCACTGTCCCCACCACCATTGTACCCTCCACTGTCCCACTGTTTCCACCTCATTCCCATTGTCCCCACACCACTGTCCCCACCACCACCGTCACCACCACTGTCCACTGTCCCCCCCTGTTCCCACCATTGTCCCCACCACTGTCCCCACCACTACCGTCCCCACCACTGTCCCACTGTGTCCCCACCACTGTCCCGCTGTCCCCTCACCACTGTCCCCACCAACACCGTCCCCACCACTGTCCGCACCCCCACTCGGTTTTCGAGGGGGGGGGGGGTTCGAACCGGTAGTGACCCCCCCCGGTTTTCCGGATCCGGAGGGGGGGGGGGGGGGGAGGGGTTCGTTCAACCGGTAGTGACCCCCCCCCCTTTTCATGATGAGCAGGGGGGGGGGGGGGGGGGGGAGGGGTTCGAAGTGACCCCCCCCGGTTTTCCGGAGGGGGGGGGGGGGGGGGGAGGGGTTCGAACCGGTAGTGACCCCCCCCGGTTTTCCGCCAGCAGCGGTAGAACACGCTCTTTCGTATGTATGTATGTGTGTATGTATGTGTGTATGCATGTGTATGTGTATGTATGTATGTGTGTGTATGTATATATGTATGTATGTATGTACGTATGTACGTATGTACGTATGTACGTACGTTTGTATGTATGTATGCATGCATGCATGCATGTATACATGTATACATGTATGTATGTATGTATGTATGTATGTATGTAATGTAATGTAATGCAATGCAATGTAATGTAATGTAATGTAATGTAATTTAAGGGAATGTAATGTAAGGTAATGTCGTGTAATGTAATATAATGTAATGTAATGTAATGCAATGTAATGTAATGTAATGTAATGGAATGGAATGGAATGGAATGGAATGGAATGGAATGTATGTATGTATGTATGTATGTATGTATGTATGCATGCATGCATGTATGTATGTATGTATGTATGTATGTATGTATATGTGTGTGTATGTGTGTATGTTTGTGTGTATGCATGTGCATTTGTATCATGTCGAAACACCTTCGACATGTGCCACATGACGCTCCCACCCCAATATCCGGCGTCGTCAGCTGGGTTTCTTGGGCTTCCATGGTTTTGCAAAGGAAAGCGCGACGTTCCCACACCGAGAATCAAGGGACGCCCTGGGGTCCCCAGGTCGGGTTTCCTGTGGGAGGTTTCCCGTGGCCGGGCCCATACAGTACAGTCGGGGCCCTGAAGAAGGAACCCTTTTCGTTGGGGAGGGGCTCCGTGTTCCTTAAGTGTTTCGCAGCCTGCCTTGGATTTTCCTTAGGTTTTCGATACGAAATCGAAGTCCAACTTGTGGAAAATAGGCGCCTCGTTCTTTATTTAGGGTTCCTTGGGTCAACGCCTCGACTGCACATGTGGAAGGAGAATCTGGGCAGCTGGGCACTCTGCGAGAGGACCAGCCCTGCCCACCAGGAGGCTCGCTGCGGCCGGAGCTTCCGGCCCCCCGCCCCGTGCGGGGCCCTTCGGGTCGGGCGGGCGGCCCGCCAGCGCGGTGCCGGAAGCCAGACGGGGCTCCCCGTGCTTGCGCGGGAGGTCGCGCACAGTGGTGCAGCTTGACGGTGTTGCAGTGTTGCAGCAGAGGAGGGGAGGGAGGGAGGGAGGGTGGTGAGGGAGGGGGGGGAGGCAAGCTAGGTGCGCTCGCGTCATATCTGACATCCTACCCCGCCCTCCCATCCCTTACCATGGCGCAGATCCCCTCTCTACTCGCACAGTCGGATGTCAAGCAGGGCGATGATCCCGAAAGGGTACGCGATGCATTGTAGAGCACGGCATGGCATGGCGTAGAAGAGCACCGCGAAGCGTAGTATCAACCTAGCATTGCATTGCATGCCGTGGCATGGCACGGGAAATGACGCCAGCGCTGCAGCGGGAGCACGAGTCGAAACGAGCGGAAGCGCGGAAATGAGGCCAGCGCTGCAGCGGGAGCACGATTCGGAACGAGCGGAAGCACGGAAATGATGCCAGCGCTGCAGCGGGAGCACGATTCGGAACGAGCGGGGCTCGAAAATGAGGCCGGCGCCTCAGCGAGAGCAGCATTTTAGGAAAAATTGCAAGCAAAAATCTAACTCCGGGGAAGGCTTCCCGGGCGCCAGAAGCAGAAATTCAGCATTTCCAAAAGAAAAAATTGTATTGGGGCCTTTTTCCGGCGCCGCCTCGGAACTCGATTTTCCGGCGCCGACCTGGCCCGGGCGCCGGCCCGGGCGCCGGCCCGGGCGCCGGCTCGGGCGTCCGGCCCGGGCGCCGGCTCGGGCGCCAGCCTGGGCGTCGGAATCGGCCCGGGAGGCCTCCCGGGCGCCGGAAGAAGAAATTCAGCATTTTCAAAAGAAAAATGTGTATTGGAATGGCCTTTTTTCGGCGCCTCCTCGGAACTGGATTTTCCGGCGCCGACTGGACCCGGCCCCGGACCCGGCCCGGGCGCCGGCCCAGGCGCCGGCTCGGGCGTGCAGCCAGGGCGCCGGCGGAAATGATGCCAGCGCTGCAGCGGGAGCACGATTCGGAACGAGCGGGGCCCGAAAATGAGGCCGGCGCCTCAGCGAGAGCAGCATTTGGAAAAAATCAGGCGAAAGCCCAACTCCGGGGAAACCTGTGTGTAAAAAACAGTACGCGGGGGGGGGGGGGTGGGGCTGGGGGGCGAATATTCCCAAGACGTCATCAGGGGAAGAAGGAGAGTAGTATTCATATTGAGTAATTGTGAAGGGGAGGGAGGGGAGGGGGAGGAGGGGAGGGAGGGGGAGGAGGAGGAGGAGGAGGAGGAGGAGAGGAGGAGGAGGAGGAGGAGGAGGAGGAGATGAGGAGGAGGAGGGAGGAGCAGGAGAGGAGGAGGAGGGAGGAGGAGGAGGAGGAGGAGAGCAGGAGAGGAGGAGGAGGAGTAGGAGGAGGGGAGAAGAGGTGGAGGAGGAGGAGGAGGAGGAGGAGGAGGAGGAGGAGGAGGATGC